GTCATTTAAATCCCATATCAAAGAAGTTCCTACAATTTCTAGAAAATCGTGATTGCTTTTGTCACACAAATATTTTACCTTTTACCTTGACTTTACTTCTCTTTACCAACTGACCGTTTTGATTATGTGACAAAAAGTAGATATATCTTCAGCTCTATAGAATACAGCACAAAATGTGACACAAAGACAGACATCGCACAATTCTTTGCAAAATATATACAACAAATATATACAACAAAGCACACAAATGAAATAACCAGATACATACAACTAGATCAGCTACTATATACAGATTTATTTTTGTAAAACAACTCACAGTTGTTCTTCTTCTTTACAACATTATCCAGGGAAACAAAACATTGGCAAAGACCTATATTAAAGTTTATGAACTACTGAGTACTCTATGATTGGATTGGAAGTAATGTAGCTTGTAGCTGCTCATGCAATGATGCTCCTTTGCGTACCCCGTTATTTATAACCAGGCAGGCATCCAATCTACAATCAGACAGTCAACAAAGTCAACAAACAAAACACACTAAGTGCTGCTCTTTGCTGTAGAAACCCTGGGAACTTTAATCAGACTGGCTTAGGAACCAAGACAAACACCAACTATGGACTACATCAAAGTAGTTCTGCATCGTACCATTAGGTTTGAAAAGAGATAAACTAAGATGTTGATGTAGAAGACCAATTATTTATAGAGAATGTTATTTTAATCCTGGGCGACAAACTACAAGGATTTTCTGGCTGATTTTACAGGGAATGTTTTATTCATTGCTCTTTTAGGTCTTTAGTAGTCCAACAACAACAACAATCTCTGAGAATGGTCTGTCAAGAGTTTCACTTTAGCCTCATCTTGCCACATACTGAAGACACTGAAACCTAAGTTACCCGCTGGTACTGATTAAGCGTGTGAATGAGTGACTGCATATTCTAGTGTATCAGGTGACTAATACAAAAGTTGTGTCCATTTACTAATTCAAACATTTTCTGACCTTCCCTGAACTGTGGGGTTATTGACAATATAATGTTTCACTCGATATAGAACCTGACATGGGAGATATGATGGAGCAGACTGGCAAAGCAGTTGAAGGCTTGAACATTTCAATGGTGGGGAAAACCTTCAATGTTGGGGGTGTGAACCGTGGTGCTTGGGGAGGCAAAGATGCAGTCGGGTTTTAATATGGTATTTTACAGATAAACTATTGGGTTCCAGAAGGCTGAGGGGCTGTGGGACTTATCTGCTGTTCTTGGGGAGGTAGAGGGGCTGCGGGACTTATCTTTTCTTCTTGGGCAGGTAGAGGGGCTGCGGGACTTAACTGTTGTTCTTGGGGAGGTAAAGGGGCTGCGGGACTTATCTGCTCTTCTTGGGGAGGTGGAGAAGTTGCGGGACTCATCTGCTGTTCTTGGGGAGGTAAAGGGGCTGCTGGACTTATCTTTTCTTCTTGGGCAGGTAGAGGGGCTGCGGGACTTAACTGTTGTTCTTGGGCAGGTAAAGGGGCTGCGGGACTTAACTGCTGTGGTTGTTGAGGTAGAGGGGCATTGGGCCTAGGCTGCTGTGGTTGTGAAGGTAGAGGGGCATTGGGCCTAGTCTGCTGTGGTTGTGAAGGTAGAGGGGCATTGGGCCTATATTGCTGTGGTTGTTGAGGTGGAGTGGCATTGGGCCTAAACTGCTGTTGTTGAGGGGGTAGAGTAACATTGGGTCTGAACTGCTGCTGTTGAGGGGGTAGAGTAACATTGGGTCTGAACTGCTGCTGTTGAGGGGGTAGAGGGGCATTGGGTCTGAACTGCTGCTGTTGAGGGGGTAGAGTAACATTGGGTCTGAACTGCTGCTGTTGAGGGGGTAGATAGGCATTGGGTCTGAACTGCTGCTGTTGAGGGGGTAGAGTGGCATTGGGCCTGAACTGCTGTTGTTGAGGGGGTACAGTGGCATAGGGTCTGAACTGCTGTTGTTGAGGGGGTAGAGTGGCACTGGGTCTGTACATCTGTTGTTGAGGGGGTAGAGTGGCATTGGGTCTGTACATCTGTTGTTGAGGGGGTAGAGGGGCATTGGGCCTGAACTGCTGTTGTTGAGGGGGTAGAGGGACATTGGGCCTGAACTGCTGTTGTTGAGGGGGTAGAGGGACACTGAACCCAATCTGCAGTGGTTGAGGAGGCAGAGGGGCGGTGGGCTGACTGGGCTGAGGAGAATTAGGAAACGTTGGTCCTGTAGGGTAGGGTGGTGACATTTGGGATGGTGATGGTGATGGTAATTTAGGGCTTTCATCAAGTGACATAGAACGGATCATTTTATGGAGCATATCTTTCTGGTCAAGCTGTAGTGCCCCTGACAGAACCTGGAAGTTATCGCTTAGTTTTTCATTTATCTTACTGAACTTTTCATCACAGTCTTTAGACTTAACTTGGCCTCTATTAGCATTTGACCTGGTGAATTTTGTTATGTGTTCTTCTGCTTCTTTCAGAGTCATTAGGATTTCCAACAAACAATGGGAAACCATAGGAGTGATCTGATCAGGTTCCTTTTCTTTGATTGCCTTAACAAGTCTCTCAAGGGTTTTAACTCTTTGGGCGACTCGATCACAGCGGTCTTTGTAGACCTTCACATTCTCAGCCCTTCGGTAGATGGTTGAGCATGTTTCCAAGATGAGTTCTACAGTTTCCATGATTATCTGTGGAGACAGAGAAGCAGGAAAATATATTTTTGTGTCATAATTTCCAACATATTTTATACAAAGTGGATAAACTTGGGGGAGGGGGGTATATTGCGCTAAAGTTAACTTCTTCAAGGGTGATAAAAAAGAAAAACTATCTGCTTTGTACTTTGGCATGTAGGTCAACACATATAGGGCACCAATCCATACCTTCTTTTTTAGGGTGGTGGAGGGCAGGCGCCTATCCCCTGCAAGGGGTGAAAAACAGGGTACACCTTGAAGGGGTCCCTGTCTAAAGATAAACATTAAACAATAAAACAAGCTGGTACATTGCAAGAGGAAGCCAAGGCATATAGTTAAATTACCATTTTAATCTGATGAATGTACATCCATTAGATGCAAGTTTCAGGCTTTAAAGCTTTAGGGAAAGTATTGTCCTACAGATTTATTTCGTACATATACAGATTAGATATACCTAGCAAGAACTAATAAACCCTTTTTAAAGTGAGTTTAGGTATTTCAGGTAGATTCTATTAGAAGGAGGCCTAGTGGTTAGCCCTGAACATTGGCAAGACTATGGCTGTGTCCCAACATCTGACCTAACCCCTGTTGGGATATATTGCCACAATGGAGCCAATTCAATTTGAGGAAATATTTCAAACCACACCCCTTTCTTTTACACAAATAGAACAAAGGATGCTCTGGAAAGTTCTGGAAATTTTCAACCAAAAGGAACAGTCAGCTCACGCATGGACCAATCATCTGATGAGAAGGATTAAACTTCAACAGGAAATACCCCTACATCATTCAGGGTTTAAATCCCAGAGCGCAAGATCAATTTCTCTCTTTCCCCTGGGTTTTAACACCTGTAAGGAGAGGCCTGTTTCACGTGAAATGCTAAAAGAAAGCTAACTGGAAGTAGCTTTCGTTTTCCTGCCTAAAAAGTCACAGATCGCAGTGTCCCATCGTGAAACCCAAAGTGAGTTTGAAACTCACTTTAACTTTTTCCGAGAACAGACCCTTGGTGAGACGGACCCGCATCGAGCCGAGATCGAACCACGTGTCCCCCGCTTCCGTCCCGGACTGGAAGACGTCTCAAATTAAAACCCATCCACTTTTCCATTTGATGTTTTAATGAGGTGCTGCTCTAGGGCAAGCAGGCAGATAGGAGAAACTGGAATTAATGCTGATGTGTAATCTGTGCTGGTTATAAGAACTCTGGTTTAACGGTTCAAATAAGTGTGCTGTGAAAAGCTGCATATTTCTGTCTTCCTTTCTTTCTATCCTGCTTTCCTTCCTTCGCTCTAAGGTTGTTTTTTGAGAGTTT